GCAGTGACTTCACCAAGGTCCTGCTCAGGCCAACCCTGTCCCCTTTTCAGCCCCTGCTTAGGGTGTCCTTTATACCGAGACCTTTAAAGATATGCCGTGGACTTTCAAGGGCTTAAAAGCATCACCGTCTCAGATGCTTTGGAAGTTCATTCTCACTGCAGCTCCCCAGCCTGGTGGCCTTCGAAGGCAAGGGGACCACTAGTCCCCAGGATGTCCGTCCAGTGGGGCCATGGTGGGGGAAGACTGGTGTAGATGTTTTTAATTAGTTTCTAATTTTTTGTATTTGGGGGGAAAGTATGGTATTTTATCGTACTGCTTTTTGGAATTGTTGTGAACAGCTCTGGCTGTTCTGTTGGGAACTAGAGAAATAGAGAAATGAAATAAATACATGAAGGACACGAGAAGGATGTTGGTGTGCTGACCGTTTATTAGATCTGCTAATGCACCACAGCAAAATCCCCAGATTTTTTTATATGAATGCATTTCTGCTTTCATGATGGCTCTTAAAATTGATCCTATTTGGTGCTTGGGGCAGTGGAGGGATTTCCTTATAGCCGGAACCCCCATTAAGCCCCTTTCCAAAAGGGACTGAGGAGGAGTGAAGTGGGAAAGAAGGCAAGCAAGGTCACCCAGCCGCTGGGAGATTTTTGGTTGTCTGGTGGACAATCAGCTCACAGCAGTCCAGCCACAGGCTGGATCCATGTGCACCCACCCGGTGCTGCCCATCCTGAACTAGCCAGACCGATCGAAGGCTCATAGTTTTGTACACTCTGGCCTTGTTTCTCCCCTCTGCCTAAGGAAAGCACAGCTAGAAGTGGAATGAATAAATAACGAAGATCTTATTTACCTCTGACACAATTTGCATAGAAATTATCATTGTTTTCACAATCAAAATTGATTGCGGTGCCTTGAAAGGAAACTTGTACATTCGCCTTTTGGTTCTACGGATAAGGATCAGTTTTAGAAAGGAAGGATGTCAGCTGATCCAAGATGGAAGAGTTCCAGGAGCCAGGCGAGTCTGCAGCAGCTCTTGCTCCATGACCAAAGCAAACAATGGGTGAAGTGTATAAAATGCAGCTGCTGCTCTCCCTCTCCCCCACAGCCTCCAGCCGTGGAAATTCCCCCTTCCACAATGGCCACCTTCCTGCTGTGTAATGCTCCATTCTGGTGTATCCTTCTGCTGGTGGGCAAGATCCCATGCCCGGGAATCCACCTCAGCCCCTCTTTCCACTGGCCTGGGAAGTGCCCTTTGTGACAAGGAGGTTGGTACCCAAAGAACAGGACAGCTGGATCTCATGCAATGAAGCATGAAGGAAGGCACAGGAGGAAAGATGCTGAGATGCTGCCCGCACTGATGCTGGAGGGCCTCTGTTGGACCTGCCCATCCCCTTCGTCCATGGCAGCCCCTCCAGCCCCTGGAAAATCTTGCACAGAATCAGGAAATACTGCTAAATGGGGTGATGTGGGCAGGAAGGGCAGGTCCCCAAACGTCTGGACAGAAGTCTCCTTCCTCTTGTGTGGAAGACGAGCCAACGCCATGGGTAAGTTGGTTGCTGCTAGTTGCGAAGTTGCATCCGGCCCATCGCTGCCCCATGGACAACACTCCTCCAGGCCTTCCTGCCTCCAGCATCCCCAGCGTCCACCCAAGCTCACGCCGGCTGCTTCAGCCCTTTCTTCAGCAGTACCTGCCCAGAAGGTGCCCTGCGACTTTAGGACCAGTGTGCATAATTCTGCTGGCCTACACGGTGCTCAGAAAGGGCCCCCCTCAGAGAGGTGAAGCACCTGGGGGCTGAGACACCTGGCAGGCTTGGCAGATGCTAACAGTGCTGATGTCAGGCTGTTGACATCAGCTGTTCCAGGAGCAGCAAATCCCAGTTATCAAGGATGATCTCAACCCCGGTGCCATCCTGTGCATCCGCATCCTGCTGTTTATGAAGTAGTGCTGTACGCGGCCCCTGGGAAGCAACGGGAGAAGCAAAGCGTCTGAGGAGTGTGTCTCTAACAGCACTGCGGCCAGCCGTGGAGGCCTTAAACAGAGCAGGGGAACGAAACCAGCTAGCGAGGCACTTGGATCCAAGAAGCATCAAAAGGGGACGAGGGAGCTGCTGGGAAACTGCATGGCTTTTTTTCATCAGTTTCACAGCAGCGGATGCAGAGTAGATACCTGCTCCGGAACTTAGATATTCTAGAAGGGAGTCAGGGGAATTTGGGAGATAGCCCTGACAAAAAATGATAAACCTTCTTGACAAACTGAAAGTCAATAAATCGCCTCACCCAGCTGGCGTCCATCCAAGAGCTCTTCAAGAACTTGGATGTGAAACGGCTGGCGTCCTTACCGAAATCTTCAATATGTCCCAAAAATCAGAGTTTGCACCAGAGGACCGGAGAATGGCCAGTATAACGCCAATGTTCAAAAAGGGATCCGGGGGGGAATCTGGGGAATTACAGACCAGTTATGTTAACATCTCTTCTGGGTGAATTGCTTGAAATTGCTATTAGAGATGGAGTCAGCAAGCAAATAGAGGGACAAGCCCTGCTGCAGAAGAATCAGCACGGCGGCAGCAAGGTTCTGTCTCACTAATCTGTTAGAGTTTATTAAGAGCATCGATTAACACGTGGACACTGGCGATGCAGTAGACATTGTTTCCCTGGACTTTCAAAAGGCTTTTGGAAATGTCCCCCACCAAAGACTCTTGGGCAAACGTAAAATTTTGGAATGAAAAGGGGGTGGTCCTCTTATCCACCAGTAAAGAAGACCGAGTAGGAATAAATGGCATTTTCTCCAGCTGAAGTGAAGCCAGCAGTGGGATGGTGTCGTAGGACTGGTGTTTTTCAGCCTGTTGATAAATGATCTGGAATTAGGAGCAGGCAGTGAGGGGTCCATGTTTGCCAATGACACTGAGCACTTTAGGGTGGATGAACCAAATGGGATTGCGAGGCGTGCCACGGGGATCTCTCCAAGCTGAGAAAAGGGGCATCGAAAAGGCAACGCAGTTGAATGCAAGCTGTGTCAGGGCTGAAGAACACTTCGACTGCCAGGTTCTTATTTCACCTGAACTACACAACTGCTTAGCAGCTTCATTACAAGTCAGGATGTTCAACCATGGTTTGACATTGGGTTAAGCTCGCAAACTGGGTTTCCCAGTGCAGACGAGACTGGAACAATAGTCAGTCGAGACTCGCTGCTGGCCCTGCTGGCCCCATTCTGCCCTCGTGCTGGTGGCCGTCTTAGCTTGTTCATAGCCCAGCCCTGCAAACTGCCCGGGTCACACAGCTTCCACCTGGCCCCATCCCTTCTCGTGACCTTCAGTAATTCAGAACTTTTCAGGTTCGGTGGCTTTCCTCTGCTCCTGAAGGTCGAAATGCCTTAGTTCCTGGCAGTGCAACCTAAAGCTGGATTATCCTGGTCTTGGGGGTGTTTTGGCCCCAAACCTGTTGGCCTTTGGCTTTGCCCCAGTTTGGGTTCAGCCTCATCCACTATCAGAATGCAGCTCCTTCTCCGAAGCCCAGTTTGGCCCCGAGCTCAAGAGAGGCTGGACTAGTCAGCTTTAACCTTTACGTTGCTGCTACGGGCACATGAACTTGATTTAGACTCTCCTATCATTTTAACTGTGTTAGGTTTTCATCCTGTTCCTTCTCACATGGCAAGCCGCTTATACAAATAAAGGGAGTGAATACCATATTGCACTATAAAACAAAATAAATGACAGCATCAGATCCATAATTACCTTCCACTGAATCCTCCAGAGCTATTTGGGTTCCCACCGGGGCTTTTTTTTGGTTCTGGCTTTTGCTTACAAAGAATGAGTCAATGCTTGGATGAAGGTTTTTATTTATTTATTTTAAACAAAATATAAAACACAGAGAACAGACCCTGGTCATTTAAAAAAACAAACTAAGACCAAAACAACTCTTCAGGTTTGAGAATACAAACATACATCTCGAGCTGGGCTAAGCAGAATAAGGTTTTTATTTTATATTTTTATTTATTGGCATCCATCCGACATAAACATTGCACTGTTTCTCAGACTTGTCATACATCTTTCTATGGACCAGTACGCAGCCACAGACTTCTGCATGTACAAATTCCAGCCACACCTGCCTGAATTTCAGCAGCAGCAGCAGCAGCAGCAGCAGCAGCAAGAGGGGAGGGGAGGGGAGGGGAGGGGAGCAAAAGCCCACGGACGCCTGGGGGCAGGTTGCACAAGTGGCCCCCGAAGGGCAAAGGAATTCCATCCCTGGCCTGTCCACCCGTGGCCTGTGCCCCCTGATCCTCCAGCCATTTGAGGCAAGAGGCCTTCCTTCACATGACTCCAGCTGGGCTCCCAAGCCACTGGCCAGGCCGCCAGCCAGCCCTCCGCCCACCCGCGAGGGGGGTGCCACGCCACCCCCAAGCTGCAACTCGGCTTCCACGGGTGGAACGGCTGGCGCTGAGCGCCCTCCTGCCCCTCCCAGGCAGCCAGAGGCCTCGGACCAGCCGTGCCCGTCCTTTTCGGCCAGTCTCATCCTCGCCGGTCAACAAGGACGCCTGCACTGATCCAGCTGCGATGGCCACCGGAGTGAGCCCAGCTGCACATGCAGGCACACCTGGCTCAGGCGGCCTAGAAAAGGCAGGTCCCCTCCCCATTTCCCCAGAAGGACTCACAAGCTCGCGAGGATGCTTCGGGTCCTCACAGTGAAGGCCACAGCCCTTGTCTATGGCAGGCAAACGGCAATTATTTCTCCCTGGGCTGCACACCCCCTCCTGCCAGCAGCTGCAAGCCATTTCAGGTCCCGGTCCTGTGGGAGAAGGCTCTCTCTCTCTCTCTCTCTCTCTCTCTCTCTCTCTCTCTCTCTCTCTCTCTCTCTCTCTCTCTCTCTCACACACACACACA